AGTGTCCATGGCTTCTGCTTCTCTCAGGACTCTTCCTATAGCCTCCCCAGGGTCATTGGTCATCTCTGAGCCATCCTTGCTCCTACATCTAAAATAGGTTGGCTGGGTACCTGTTTTAGTGCTTACACACTGTCCTCCCAACTTTCACTTCCTCCCTCCCCAACTGGGGAAAATCTGAGCTCTACCTTAACCCACATACCCACAGAAGCATTATAGAGATGGGAACTCTGCCAAGTGTGATAAAATCTATGGTCCGTCCTTCAATAATTCCATTTTTTTGTAGAAGCACAAAGCAGTCAAATCAGCAACTCAAAGAAGAAAAATAAAGGACCAGGTTAACATTTCAGGCGGGGATCCTCAGACAGAAATTATGTATCTAAGTTTTCAATTGAAAGATGCTAAGACAAGATATTGTGTTCTTACAACACTTAGTCATAGAGCTGTACAGCATGGAAACAGACGCTTCGGTCCAACACATCCATGCCGACCAGATATCCTATATAAATCTAGTCCCATTTGCCAGCATTTGGCCCATATCCCTCTAAACCCTTCCTATTCATGTACCCACCCAGTTGCCATTAAATGTTGTAATTGTACCAGCCTCTACAATTTCCTCTGGCAGCTCATTCCATACAGCTACCACACTCTGTGTGCAAGTTGTCCCCTAGGTCTCTTTTATATCTTTCCCCTCTCACCTTAAACCTATGCCCTCTAGATCTGGACTCGCCCACCCCAGGGAAAATACCTTGCCTATTTACCCTATCCGTGTCCCTCATGATTTTGTAAACATCTATAAGGTCACCCTTCAGCCTCAATCATCAGCAAAGTGATAGAAGGTGTCATTAACAGTACTATCAGACAGAACCTGCTCAGCAATAACCTGCCCAGTGACGCCCAGTTTGGGTTCGGCCAGGGCCACTCAGTTCATTACAGCCTTGGTTCAAACATGGACAAAACAGCTAAATTCCAGAGATGAGGTGAGAATGACAGTCCTTGACATCAAGGCTACATTCGACAGAGTGTGGCATTAAGGAGCCCTAGCAAAATTGGAATCAATGACTATGAGGGGGCAAACTTTGCAGTGATTGGAGTCATACCTGACATGTAGGAGGATGATCACGGCTGTTAGAGGTCAGTCATCTCAGCTCCAGGACATCTCTGTAAGAGTTCCTCAGGGTAGTGTCCTAAGACCAACCACCTTCAGCTGCTTCATCAATGACCTTCTGTCCATCATAAGATCAGAAATGGGGATGTTCGCTGATGATTGTACAATGTTCAGCAGCATTCATGACTCCTCAGATACTGAAGCAGTCCATGTCCAAATGCGACAAGATCTGGACAATATCTGGGCTTAGGCGGAAAAGTGACGGCAAGTAACATTTGTGCCACACAAATGCCAGGCTATGACCATCATCAATAAGAGACAATCTAATCTCCCCACATTGACATCCAATGACTCCTCAAAGCCTGCCCACAATCTACAAGGCATAAGTCAGGAGTGTTATAGAGTACTCCCAACTTGCCTGGATGGGGGCAGTTCCAACAACTCAAGAAGCTTGACACCATTCAAGACAAAGCAGCCCACTTGATTGGCACCACATCCACAAGCATCCATTCCCTCCACCACCGACACTCGGTAACAGCAGTGTGTACTATATACAAGACGCACTGCAGAAATTCACCAATGATCCTCAGACAGCACCTTCCAAACCCACAACAATTTCCACCTAGAAGGACAAGGGTAGCAGATATATGGGAATACCACCACCTTCAAGTTTCCCTCCAAGCCACTCACCATCTTGACTTGGAAATATATTGCCATTCCTTCACTGTCGCTCGGTCAAAATCCTGGAATTCCCTACCGAATGGCATTGTGGGTCTACCTACAGCAGGTGGACTGCAGCAGTTCAAGAAGGCTGCTCACTCCCACCTTCTCAAGGGCAACTAGGGATGAGCAATAAATGCTGGCCCAGCCAGCGACACACGCATTCCACAAAATGAACAGAAAAAAATAACTCGTGGGATGTGAATGTTCTTGCCTAGGTCAGCATTTATTAGCCATTCCTGATTGCCCTCAAGAAGGTGGCAGTGAGCTACTTTTCTGAATCACTGCAGTCCTTTGGGTGTAGGGACCCTCACAAAGTTGCTGGGGTGTTTCTGGTTTTTGACTGCAGTGACAGCAAAAAAATGTTGTCATAGTTCCAAATCAGGCTGTTGAGTGGACTCAAGACAAACCTGCAGGTTGTGGTGATACCAAGCATCTGCTGCCCTTGCCTTCTCGGTGACAGAGGTCACAAGTTTGGAAAGTGCTGTCGAAAAAGCCATGGTGAGATGCTGCAGTGACTTGTAGACAACACTGCTGTCACAGTAGTGGCCGGAAAGGCACCAAATGGTGAATATAGTCCCAGTTAAGCAGACAGGTTGTTATGGAAGTTGTTGAACTTTTTGAGTGTTGCCATAGTTACGCCCATACAGGCAAATGGAGAACTCCATCACACTCCTGACTTGTAACATGCAAAGGTGCACAAGCATTAGGAAGACAAGAGGTGAGTTAGTCAGTGTCTGAGGAGTCGTGAAATATGCTGTGCTAGTAGCCACATAGAGTCAGAGTCATACCTGACATCCCAATCTGACCTAGTCCTATTTACCAGCATTTGGCCCATACCCTCTAAACCCTTCCTATTCACGTATCCATCCAGATGCCTTTTAAATGTTGTAATTGTACCAGCCTCCACCACTTCCTCTGGCAGCTCGTTCCATACACGCACCACCGTCTGCATGAAAAA